ATTTGGGACACTCAGTTTCACTGTCTGTCTGCTTGTAGCGTGCATTCCAGGGTCCCTGCGTGTCACCTCCGAGGGCAGAGTCTGTCACAGCAGACCTGCAGGGGCTGGCTCCTGCGGTTAATGAGGTCTTCCTGTCTCCTCTGCTCCTCACTGTGCCACTCACCCCATCTATTCCCAGCCACGCTGAGACCCGGGGCCAGCCCTGGGGGGAGGCCGCTCTGGCAGAGTCCCATTTCTGCTGTCACCTCAGCTTCTTGGACTGAAAATGAACATCTGGACAGGCATTTGGGGAAAGAAGTTGTGAAGAGTGACACGTGGTTGAAAGGGGAATGTAGGGGGAGGAGTAGCCCCAGCTCATCTTTCTTAGAACACAGATGACATTTTATGGCCCAACTGGGGGTCTCAGAGCCTTTGCTCAGGTTCCCACATCCCGGTGGAACTCTCCTCTTCCACATCTACAGTTCCTCTTCTTTATTGTGCAGCCAGTGAAGATTCCAATAAAAATGCAGAGTTCTGGGTGCTCACTGGCATGAACCTTGGTGCCCTGTGCAAGCTGATGGCAGCTCCTGTGTCTGATCTCGTGGGCAGGCGCCTGTCAGCATGATGTGCACAGTCAGGGTTTTCAGTACATGTGTGATGTGTAAAGGTATTAAGTCATCATAGTTCCAGTCCCACAGTTTCTGTATTTATGGTTTCTTCTCCTGCTCTTCCAGAAGGAGCTATTTAGTATCTTTATTATTCAGTCATCTCAGAGGAGTGGAGGGACACTTCAATTGAGCGAAGTGATGCATTCAGTTATGTAACAGATAACGCAGACAGAGGGGCGCAGAGACAGGAATGTGGGTGGAAAACCAAAGGACAGCACTTTCTTATCCTTCATCGCTTACATCTTAGAATCTTATTATTACATCAAAGACTCATAAGTGTCAGGAAGTATCTAAACTGAGAAGGTTTCCTATTCTGGCTATTTGGAGAATTTGGAACAGGAAGGATTAGAGCTCATTCTTTATATAGCAGAGTGACTGTCACGTATGATTTCAGAATGTAAATTGTTCAGGTGTGGGGGACATGTGGTCTCCGTCATGACTGCCCTGGGCTAATGCTAAAGCAGACAGAGCGAATCTGAGAAAGAAGGGACAGACGTGACTGTTTTCTGATAAAACTTCTTTCACGGACAATTAAACTTGAATTTCTGTAAAGTTTTATGTAACACAATATTCTTTAGAATTTTCTCCAACCATTCATTCACAGGTCCCAGAAAAATAGTTGGTAGACTCGATTTGGCCCAGGGTCTGTGGTTTGTTAAGCCCTGTTCTAGGGCTAAAAACAAAATAAATAAACTGACTTGCAATATAATGTCTGTTATCCTAAGTCTCTTTGGCTGTTTAAAGTCATCAAGTTGTTTTGGCAACTATCGGCGGCCTCAGATCAGAGAGAGAAGGGTTATGTGCTCAGTAATTCATTTCTTCCACAGTCTTCTTACCCAGTAATATTCAATATGTTAGAAAGAAAACAAGGCTGTCTGTGGAGTTCATGCACCCTAAGTCTGTATGCTTGGGGCACATTCATGCCTCTCCCCAGACACACCCGCAAGAACTTTGTGTGAGAGGCTTACTCTTCCTGGCTCAGCCTTCTTCAACAGCCTGCTGGTCTCTTCACCCCTTCATGATCTCTCCCCATGCTTGTCTTTCTCTGTCTCTCCATCTCTTTGGTTTTCTCTCAGACAGGTTCTACCAAAAAGGAGGAGAAATAAGTTGACTTCTTAGATACTTTCTAATACCACATTGCCTTATCAAGGCAGCCTCTTACCCACACACCCCAAATAATTTTGGTTTCATGTTATCCCACTAAGAAGTATCTTTCTATGAATCACTGGATATAAGATACTTATCTTCTTGGATGATTAGAGAGTTTAATGCCTCCAATCGGATCTAATTTAATGACTGTAGATCCCTGGGGTTTTCTCTCACAGATTTCCCAAATACAACTGTTTCTCTCATGTCATAAAATGCTTATTTTCTTTTGGGTAGTTTTTTTTTTTTTCCCACCAAATGTCCCCTGCATTTTGTTGTGAACATGATGGTAATGGAGCTTGATGTACTGAATCTTGAGAAATAGATACTTCATTTGTGCATAACACAGTGGGGGTTAATAAATAGTAGAGGAGGGGAATTTTAACAGTATGATTTGTAACAGATCAGAAAACAGGAACACTCAACTACATTGTTAATACTAAAGAGCCATTCTATCTGAATACAGAGTTTTGTGATTACCAGCTTGATTTGCTATTTTATCAAAAGAAAAATTAGTGATTATTAGATCATTTGCTCTTGACAAAGCTACAGTTAAACTCTTTCTCTGTGTCTTAACCCAGTAACTATAGTTTCCAATGGGATGCCCGTTTCAGTCACTTGGGGAAGTTTTTCAAAATATATAATCACTATACCTTCTCATTTTGGTATTGTCAGTACCTTCAAATCAGAACCAATCAGTAACACACCTGTAGTTGAACAAGTTGAGTGATCACTGCTTTCAGCCAAGGAGAATAAATACACTGTGGAGAATCACAATGTTGTTAGGAACAGGGACTTTGATAGAATCTATTTGGATTTTGGCTGGGTGATTTGGGGCAGAGTTTCAAGAAGCATCCATCCTAGATTGGATGCCATTAGGAAGCAGATGTAATTCTATTATAAGTTCCCTCTATCAATCTGATCAACAAAAGACTAATATGTAGATCAATCTATAAATGGTGAAGGTGTACCAGACACTCATTTCATCTGAGAGAGGAGGTGTCCTGTACTTTCTGGAAGCGTTGTGACCTTGGTTTTTGTCTATGCTTACACAGAATTTTGAAATGACCTTGTTTTATCTCATTTTATCTTGGTCTCAGAGTAATCTTGTCTGAGGTTGGCATTCTTTGAGATTCTTGAGGTCTAATAAACTATGATGAACTATCAGTGAGTGCCAGGCTGGCTTGTAAGTGTTAAGCACAGGATGTTTTTCTTTCTTACAATTTATACCTATACCTGGCACAACTATTGTGGATCTTGCTTTTTAATAGCATATTTCCAAGTTTTTATTAAAATATTTTAAGTGTATAGAAAAATAATAATATAGAAATTAAAGATTATAAATAAAATCATTTGAGCTTTTCTCTCAAATTGGAATTCCTCCTGGGAGGAAACTGCTATTATGAATTTGATGTTTCTCTTTTTCAAGGACAATGCATGATTCTTTCCTTTAGTGATTTATGACATACATATGCACATACAATATTTTAATATATGAAATAACATTTTATGATTTCCTTCCTTTTAAGGAACTATATAAATTCTAACCTTAATACATACTGTGATCATTTATTATTTTAAGAGGGCAGGGAAGCATCAGAAGGAATCAGAAGACACTTATTCTTCACACATGATCTGGGGCATTGTTACCTACGTGCTCTTAACATTATAAATGAAATTTAATCACTGCATCAAGTGCTTTGTGCAATTGTTGTTCAGTGCCCTACAATGTCTTTATCTCGGGGGAATTTGGTGGTTTTATACAGAAAGATGTTGGGTGGGTTTTCCTTCTTCCTTGCACAGGCTGGCTAACCACTTTTAATATTAACACATCCGCACCACTGGAAACTCACATTTTCTACAATCACAGACCGTTTTAATTTCATGAAGCAAGGGGTAGGCTCCCACTTGTAAGCACTGAAGAAAGCAAGATTGTTAAAAGCAGTAGCCCGGTCTACCCAGAGAGAAATCTCTTGAATGCAGCACGAGACTGCCATTAGCTTGGACTCTACATTTCCGTATGACATCGGCATCCACTCAGCCCATCAGTGCCCTCCTCTGTGGAGGAGGGCATCTCTCTGTGAGAGATGCCAGCTCACGGCATGTGAGACACAATAGGAGGCCATCACAGACACATGTGCTTTCACTGAGAGAAGGCAGATGCATGTTGACAGACAGACAGACAGTTGGAAATACAGCTCAAGGAACCATGTCCATCTTTTCCTGCCCTCCCTGATGGGACCTCATGTCTTGTGCCTCACGTGAAGTTTCCAAAGGCATTCACATGTTATCGTGAGTGCCATCTTTTGTCACCTGGGGTTACTTGGTATATTTCATCTAAAAAAGCAGGGAAATTGCTGCGCTCTTCTGAAATCTTTAATGTACCTTCCTTTACATGACACAGGCAGCAAGTAATTACTGGGTGTCTTAGCCCATATGGGCTGTTATAACAGAAATGCATAAACACAGACGAGAGTGGCTTCTAAACAACAGACATTTATTTCTCACAGTTTTGGAGGCAGAGAAGTCCAGGGTCATGGTAACTGGCAGATTGAATGTCTGGTTAGGGCCTCTCTCTGGTTCACAGAACCTCTCATTGGGTGTGTGTGCTCTCTCTCACTCGCTCACTCTCTCTCTGGTTTTTCTATTCACCACATATGAGTAAAATTGTAGGGTATTTGTCATTCTCCATCTGACTCATTTCACCTTCTAGGTCCATCTATGCTGTTGCAAATGGCAGGGTTTTGTGTTTTGTAACAACTGAGTAATACTCCATTGCATCCTCATGCCCTGTCTCTTCATCCATTTGTCTGTGGATGGGCACTGAGGTTGTTTCCAGCTCTTGGTTTTTCTAGATAATACCACAGTGAACCTGGGTGGGGTGCATGTGTCTCTGCAAATTAGAGTGTTTATATTTTTTGGGTTAATACCCAGTAGTAGAACAACTGGCTCTGATTCCATCATGACCTATCCACCTTCCAAAGGCCCCTACTACTCTCACCTTGGGGGTTAGGATTTCGACCTAAGGATTTGGGGCAAGAAGGTGTGAGGCATGAATATTCAAACCAGAGCATCAGGTTCAAATTAAGGCCAGAATGATTGGATCATGATGGGCACTGAGGACCAGATACAGTCCATGGGGATGACTGGACAGGGCATTGGGATCGGCACTCTGCGCACCGTACTCACACGTGCCTTCTCTTGCAGGGGAACACTTACGGATCTGTCCTCAAGAGTATACTTGCTGTACCACGGAGATGGAAGACAAGCTAAGCCAGCAAAGCAAGCTAGAGTTTGAAAACCTTGTCGAGGAGACGAGCCATTTTGTACGTACCACGTTCGTGTCCAGGCACAAGAAATTTGATGGTAGGTGAAAGTTTCAGCTTTGATCTCGGTGTGCTTTTCTGAGAACCTTGGTATCCGATGGGTTTTTTTTTTTTAAGCTGGAGTTTTACTTTCCCTCTTAAACATGTATCGCTTTGTCTATTTTTAGAAACAGCATGTGTGTTCATGACAAGTTTTGTAGTGATATTTTGGGAAACCTGGAGTTCCCAGAGATTGGTTCGGTACATGCGGTTTGCCTATGAGATTTATCCTGAAGGGTGGAGCCCAATTTTTCATTATTTGAGTGATTCTAGCTTGATTTTCTCACACAGTAGCTTGTCTTCAGTTTTTATCTAGGGATTTCTTTAAAATAATTAAATGTCATTTAAAATTATTTGAAATATAACATCCCTTTTAAGAAGAAGGGCTTGCTTTGTGCGCCAGTGGGGTATGTGCTCCTTTCTTTTATAATTTGTCCTTTTAATATCATCACCACGTTTTGTGTTCTCATTGCCACAATGTGCAAAGGCTCCTTTACCTCCATCGATTCCCTGATTATGAGCATCAACTTCATTTCTCACTTCCATTTGTTAGGTCAACATTTTGTATTAGAAAGCACAGAATGCAAAAGTAATTTTTACTAAGATATTAAACAGTGCATTTTCTCATCAAAGCCTCTGAAAAATAATTCAGTACCGGTCTGATTTGTGTGCCCTGAATTATAATGACACCATTACTAATCTCAGGTGCAGTGTTTTCTTAGGTACTCTAAGAAATGAATGCCCCTAACTCGGACTCCTTGTAAAGCAGACCTGCAAATAGCAGCGAAACTTTCTTGGGGCCCTTTTATCCTATCAGTTGCCAAGGGCAACAGAACGGCTCTTCAGTTTCCTCACCTTGTCCAGTCAAAGTCACCTCAGTGCCAGTTTAAGACTCGCCAACATTTCCCTTTTTTTCCCTAGTAGGTAAAATGTCCTGCCTCATTGCTGCTTTAAGCTATGATAGCAGCACCGATTTCTTTCAAATCAATCCTCTGAGTTCTTAAGGGCAGGTCCACTCTGTGGGGCTTTCAGTACTCAAGGTGACGTGACATTTTCCTTGTAAGCTGATGTGGCTTCAGCTTTACCATCTTCACATTGTCCCTCTGTCTCCTGTGGATGTATATGAAAATAATTGGTTATTTAGCAGTGATTCTGTGAATGTTGCTCCCTTGAATGCAACTGAGAAGTACTGGGGAGTTGCCTCTGATGGACAGATTACAAATACAGTGACATTCAGAAGCCCCTGACGGGGCTCATTGTTGGAGGAGCTATAATATATCACTCCAAAGTGAGGTGACTGGAGACCCTCACTGTTTGTTACAAGAAGCATGCGAGCCCCATCTGCCTCTGCTGACTTTTACTTGTGTCTTTATGAACAACACCAGTATTTTGATCAAGCTCTACACAAAATTAGGTTGAAATAATTCCAGGACAATATTTATGGTTTATAATATATATCCCTTTTAGTAAAAATAGTAGATGTAATGTGTCTTTATGGGGAGTTGAATTATTTTTTTTTTCCATGAGTTAAGCTATTCAAGAAGACTGAGCTGGGTATTTCTTGTATTCTCATATCAATGACTTAATATTTTTGGATTTACAGTTTTTCATTCCACATCTCATTTGTCTTCTAAAGAAACCACTCTCCAGTTTCTCTCTCTTCTCCTCCTCCTCTCGCTGTCTTTTATAGGTGTGGTTTAAATCCTTCTATTATACTTAGGGGTATTATGTCAATCGGTTTGACAGGACATTGAATTTGCTAATATTAGATCTGACATAGGGGAGATGAATTCTTTAGTCATAGTGCCTTTCATTGCAGGTACATTAGGCTGGCATAGTATAGAAACACAGAATTTTTTTCAAGAAGGCTTTCAGCCAAGCATTGTTTTGTCTTTAATTTAAATGTGATTTTAGTGAGCTCAGTTTCTGAAGATCTCAGTGTTCAGAAAATACTTATAAAAAACATATCATTAAAATGTTGCCATTATATGCACTTTCTTTTGGCAAATTCATGAAGGTCTGTCATGCAGTCATGTGACTTATCTCCTTATAGCTCCAGGCTGATGGTGCTGAGTCACCTTTCTGAGACACTGGTGCATTCATGCATGTAGTTTTCTAGTTTCCTCATGGCATTTATTCAAGAGTATCAGTTGGTGGGAGCACAGGACTATCTATGATCAGATGTGGAATGTTAACTTCTGAGTTTCATTTTCTCATATAAAAGCAAAGGTGTTCTCAAGGAATGAGTTTATTTTAGTCATGTCCTAGTCTCTGAGTTATTTTGCATGGCTGATCCTAAGCGCCCACCTTGGGTTTCTGCTTCTGCTCTGATTTCTCAGAGATCACGCTCTGTCATCTGGACTGTACATGTCTCCGTGGGCTCTCTGTTCGTTCTTCTATGCATAGCAGCTGGATTATGTGAGAATGAGAACTCTGGACTATTTTCACTAAGAAAATAAACAATTTTATTTGCATCTGATAGATTCAGGGAGGCTAGATTCAATAATTAGGCTACTGTTGTTGCTTGCTTTATTAGACCAGCAGTGTTTTGATTCTGTTTAGCTTTTCATTTTGTGGCAGATATGTCTTTAAAAATTTGAAATTCCAAAATATTTAACTTGACATCACATACTATTTATTGTAGTATTCTTTCCTAGTTTTGATTTATGTCTTTGGTGATATTTAGAACACTGTATAAAATGATAACTCCCCATTGGGTGGTCAGAAATGAAAACTGAATTAATATCAGCTCTTGCCTAAATCAGGATACTTTGTTCCATATCCTGCTTAACCCTGGATGATGTAGCTGAGGGGTAGTGAACTGAAATTGTAGTCAGTGTGGAAATTTTCATTCTTTGGTATTTTATTGTTTTATATCAGATTAGCTCATTTTTAAATTTTTAAATATGGCAATGGAATGTTACGTATGTATGTAAAATAAATCTCTGTGTTATTGGCACTGGTCCTTCTGCAAGTGTCACACAAGGCTTTTCTTTATTTTTCTCTCTGGCTAAGTCTCCATTATACATCCCTGCAGACCCCTGCCTCAGGGAAGGGGTCTGGCCACTGCAAAGGTGCCCATAGAACTCTCTAGAGATGCTCTTGATTTGCTCTGTAGCCAAACAGAGCTCCTCTCACTGTCTGGGGCTTACAATTAGCAATGGAGACCTAGCCAGGTGCATCTGGCAGAATGGTCACAACGTTGCTCTCTTATGTCTTACCTTTTGTGCCTCCACCACCCACATCCCCCCTTTGAGAACTGAGAGTACATAAATAAGCCAATCAAATCAGAATGCAGAAAACAGCCAGGTTATCTTTGTCCACCACCTTCTTTTCCTAGCATTCTGTGTTAGGTGAATGTCCTGTGCAGCAGATTGGCCTTTGTGTCTGAATCCCAACTGCTGTCCTACTGCTCCATGGCTGGTGTCTTAGGGTTCTCAGATGCGGAGGACAATGGGACGCCCTGACAGTGGCTGTGTGGGCAGGCAGCAATTAGCCTGCTGTGCACACTGTACAAGCTAAGCTTGTTCACCAGACGGGCCTGTAGGACGGCCTCTCAGGGCTGGTCACTGGCAGAGGCAGCTCAGTCCCAGGCTGAGCCTCTGGATCCTTCCCGCCACCACCAGCTTTCTTTTCTTTTTTTTTTAAATAATAAATTTTATTTTTATATTCCCCATACAATTGCAACCCCCCATTCTGACCCCAATCCCTCCCCTCCCGCCCCCACCCCCCAAAAAGTGTCTCTGGTTCATAGTTTTTTGTTGATTTTGATTTTCACTTTCTTATAGTTATTCTTTTTCCTGATCCCTTATTTAAGTTTTCTAGATTCCTGCTATGAGTGAGACCATCCGGTATTTTTCTTTTTCTTTCTGGCTAATTTCGCTGAGCATGATCCCTTCCAGCGCCATCCATGTTGCTGCAAATTGCATGTGTTTATCTTTTTTGAATGCTGAGTAATATTCCATGGTATACATGGACCACATCTTCTTGATCCAGTCATCTATTTTTGGGCATTTGGGCTTTCAATCTGTCTAGTACTTTCCACCCCCCAGGTGGACTGAGACTTTCCAAGCAACACCATCTATTCCTGCATCTCCTGCTGTTGTTCCTCTCTCCCCCACCATTTATCAGGGGAAGACATTGGAATTGTCTTTTATACCAAAATGGCAGGCAGGAGCCTTTTTTTAAAATCCTTAAAAAAAAATCCTTAAAAAAAAAAAAAAGGAATTAACCAACTAAATATAGCCTGGCCTTTAAGGAGCCTGAAGCCTGGAGAGATTGAAAGATTTGCCAAGTTTCCACCAAGAATGATGCAATCAAGACTGTAATCTAATCCTCTTGACTTAGACTTATAAATAGTCATGGGATAGGAAGTCGATATTTGGTTGACATTCTAAGCTCCAATTTGTCCTGAGTGGACATCAGCTAGAGATTATTGGCATTCCTTCAACAAGACTATGGTGACATTGGCAGTGAAGACTCTATTCACATTTTTTAAAGATTTATTTATTTATTTGTTTGTTTGTTTATTTATTATTTATGCAAACAAGAACTGGAGAACAGGCCGAAGGTGTGGGGGGTGAGAGGATTCACCAGAGACAGTGTGGGGAACAGAACAGGCAGATTGACTGAAATACACTGCTGAGGGGAGTAGTGGGTGAGTCAGGAGAGGTCTGCTGTGCCATGTGGGTAGCTCCCTGCCCGGGGATCGAACTCATGCTGCAGTGGCTTTGAATAGCTTCATAGGTTATGTCTTAACCCCTTGTGCCACCAGGGAAACCCCTAGTCACATTTTTTTTAAGAGAGAGAGACAGTATTTATTGGAGGTTGTCCCTAAATTAATGGGGAATGAGGATTTTGTACAAAAATGTGATTGAATCACAAAGCCCCTGTAGTTCCTCTCTCCATGAAGGCACCAGCACCCTGTTCTCCAGGATTGTGTATGGATGTGGATTGCCCAGACTCAAGAAAATGAGGTTGAAAGGATATTTTATTTTAGTT